TATATATATACACACACATACGCACATACACATGTGTATATATATTTATATACATACATACGTACATATATATATATGTAGATAGATGCCATACCAGCACCGCAAACAAGAACTTCCCGGTCGATCGTTGCAAGCGAAGTTGCCATCGGATCGACCCTCCTGCGACAGCGCTTTCGAGAGGAACATATATAAATGTATATATATTTTGTTTTTTTTGATGGTTCTGTGTGAGATGTTCATAGTATAGTGTCGTTACTGTTTAGATTAGGGTTTGGGGGTAGATTACAGTATAACCACGAAAAGAAACCCTGAGGAATAGTACTGCTCATCATTCCGACCCCGATGCTCATGCACTCAAGGGTGCAGTGAGTCGGATGACTGGTTCCTTCACCGGTGTCATCGAGACTTGAAGCTTTTGTGTCGGGAGATTTGGGGGTTACTTAGGGCAGCTTAGCCAAGCAAGTAGGATTTAAAGTGACGTAACTGTTGTAACTACAGGTATGCTTACTTGTCTAAGGTACTTGTAGCCGTAAAGTAGAAGCCTAAATAATTGCCAATATTGTTCTTATTACCTTGCTATAATTGTAGTTATAATTGTAGTATGATGGGGCCCAAAACCCTACTCTGATTATTAAGGCCCCTATATTGCTTCCCAAGTACCCCTGCATCTTTGCTGGCTTCTGAGGTCAGGGACGGAGAACCGCCGGATGTAAAGGCACTGTTAAGGGACAGAGCTGCACTAACCCTAAACCCTAAACCCTAAACCCTAAACTTAGGGCTTAGGGTTTAGGGGCCTTCATGATTTGAACAGGACTTTGGGGTTCCTATTAAGGGCTCCTTTAAGGGATACTATAAGGGCTACTATAAGGGTTTAGGGTTTAGGGGCCGTCATAATTAGAATAAGGTTTTGGGGTCTGTTATACTAGAATTATAGGAAGGAACCCCCAAAACCCTATTCTAATTATTAAGGCCCCGATATGATCGATTTGGTGCTGAACCTTCTGGCCACACCCAGCGCTCCAAACACGAACTTTGTAGCCAAGCCCAGCACTCCAAACGCTGAGCCAACATGAAAAAGGCAAACCTTGCTGGGATGTAACCCTAAACCCCAAAAAGCTAAATCCCTCAACCCTATAAACCCTAAACCCCTAAACCCTATAAACCCTAAACCCCTAAACCCTATGAACCCTAAACCCTAAACCCCATAAACCCTATAAAAACCTAAACCCTATAGACCCTATAAACCCTATAAAAGATAAGCCCTAAACCTTCCAACCTTTAGGGTTTATGGGGAGTGCTTCCAGAAGCGAGCTGGGGGGACACGCAACATCACGAGGAACGAGGGTTTAGGAGTTTAGGGGTTTAGGGTTTAGGGTTTAGGGGTTTAGGGCTTTAGGGTTTTAGGGTTTGGGGGTTTAGAGCTTAATTCGGGTTTAGGGGTCTAGGGGCTTGGGATTTAATTAAGCTTTAGGGTTTAGGGGTTTAGGGTAAAGGTTAGGGCTCAGGGCTTTTAAGGTGTAAGGATACATGGCTTAAGGCTCCTAGCCTTTAGGCAGCGGGGGTTTACGTTGCGGGGGTTGAAGTGGACGGGGCTCCAAGGTTTGGGTTTTAGGGTTTAGGGTTTAGGGTTTAGGGTTTGGGGTTTAGGGTTTAGGGTTTAGGGTTGAGGGTTTAGGAATTAGGGTTTAGGGTTCAATCGGAAGCCCTCAACCTTGAGATGCTTAAAAGATTTCAAACTAGTGGGTTATTTGTTCCCAAACCCTGAACCCTAAACCCCGAACCCTAAACCCCTAAACCCCTAAACCCTAAACCCTAAACCCTGAAAATAGCAGGTTTTGGTGATTTCCCAAGTAGGTTTGAGGGTCTCTTCCTCGACATGTTGCACTGTGGGGCACTGATGTATTCCAACGTAGTGAAGCAGATAATGTGCATTACCTTCTGGTATAGTACGGTACAGTATACTATGGTATATCATGGAGCCTCTCATGGGGCCCAAGTTTTGGAACCAGCGCTTGCTCGGGGCTTTGAGGGGCTTTAAACTGGGTCACCCCTCAACCCTAAACCCCTAATAGGGTACCCTAATACAATACCCTAAATAGTAGGATCCTTATTATAAGGACCCCCCCAAAATAAGGTGCCCTTATGTTCGGAAGCTTGGGGGATTTCAGCGCTTGGGGCTCGTCGCATAGGATGTTACATCCGAAGTCCCAGAACTCCGAACCTGGTGGCTTAGGGCTGCCAAAGCTAGACCTATACGGCGCTCTGACAATTACTGTAATGTAGGGGCCTTCATAATTAGAACGGGGTTTTTGGGGCCCGTTATTTCTATTATCATTATGATAAGGAAGCACAAAAATAGTATTGGTAATTATTTACGCCCTATGTTATGGGCTCCTCTCTAAATTAGGGTCCCTCCTAGGGTCCTTCTTCTACGAGTGCCCTACTATTTGGCTCAATGAAGCCTCATGCCGGAGATCCCATGTGTCTAACACAGAGAGCCGTCCCTTCCGTCCTCCTTCTTCTTCTTGGCCTGCATCGGGTGCCAGTTCATCTAAGCCCTTAATTATTTCATGAGTTCGGGGGGGACATTGGAATAGAATCATGTGGGTGGCTCTCTAAGTTAGGGTCCCTCTTAAGGTCCTTCTTATAAAGGTGGCGTACTATTTGCCCCATATTCGGGAGCCATAAGGAATGGCATCGGCATCGTTACTCAGGCCCCATCTAAACCCTAAACCCTAAACCCTAAACCCTAAACCCTAAACCCTAAACCCTAAACCCTAAACCCAATCTTTACGTTCCCTCAAGCCTGGCCCTGCTGGGTCTCTGCCAACACAATGAAGACCGCAATGTAGGGGCCAAAATAATTATTAGGGTTTAGGGTTTAGGGTTTAGGGTTTAGGGTTTAGGGTTTAGGGAATTAGACTAGGGCTTTTGGGGTACATGAAACTCAAAATAGAATCAGAACCTCCTAAAGTAATGTAGGGAATTTTTTTAAGGCCCCTATATTCGGTTGCTTGCTTGCTTAGGAAGGGCGCAGCTCTGACGCCAAGTCTTTGTTGTCGCAGGGGTTTCCTTTCCCTGACACCGGAGAACCCTCAACCCTAAACCCTAAACCCTATATACCCTAAACCCTAGACCCTGAACCCTACCCGGAATACCTTGAATCACTGAACCTAGAGCTGGTGCAGCCCTCAGATCATTTACAACGCCCCGAAAGCTCAAAACCCTGCAGCCGCAAGATCCTACGCATCTCCAAACCCACGCGCCCCGTAGATAAGAAGCTTTTTTCTCCAACCCTGGATAGAAATAGCTGTAGGTTTAGGGACTGGGGCTTCTGTGGGTAGGATAGAAATAGTTGTAGGTTGGCTTTTGGGTTTGCGATGGCTAGGTACCTAGACCTGTGGGCTAGAGTCTAAACCCTAAACCCTAAATAGCAACCCTAAACCCTAAATAGTATCCCTAAACCCTAACCCTAAGCCCTAAACCCCTAAACCCTAAACCCTAAACCCTAAACCCTAAACCCTAAACCCTAAACCCTAAACCCACAACCCCGAAACCCTAAACCCTAAATAGCAAACGCAGGAACCTCCGCGGGCTTCTTTTTCTTCTTCGGCTTCTCTTCCTCGGCGGCCTCGTTGTCCAAGGCCCCGCTTAGGGGGGTTTAGGATTTCTAGGGGGCTTAGGGTTTCAGGGATTTTGGGGGTTTAGGGCTTAAAGTTGGGGATTTTAGGGTTTAGGGCTTAGGGTTTGATTGGGGTTTAGGGTTTGAAGTTGGGGATTTTGGGGTTTAGGGTTTCAGGGATTTTGGGGTTTAGGGTTCAGGGTTGGGTTCGGGATTTTAGGGTTTAGGGTTGGGTTAGGGACTTTAGGGTTTAGGGCTTAGGGTTGGGTTTAGGGCTTCAGGGTTTTTAGGGTTTAGGGTTTAGGGTAGGGTTTAGGGCTTTAGGGATTTAAGGGTTTAACAATACGATGATTAATGAGAACTCGGAAAGGGAAAATCAGCGCAATATATCGTCATGCTGGACAGAACAGTAGTAGTAGTAGTAGTAGTAGTAGTAGTAGTAGTAGTAATAGTAGTAGTAGTCGTAGTAGTAAAAGTAGTAGTAGTAGTAGTAGTAGTAGTAGTAAGTCAATCTCGATTCTAGCCCTTTCAAAAAAAACAAACTGACTCACTGTTCAATCTTTGGGCTTCTTCAACAATCTAGGGGCCTTTATACTTAGAATAAGGCCTTGGGGGCTCCTTATTATATTTATAGTATAATATAACCCCAAACCGAAGCCCTGAGTCGCGGCAACTCCAGAGGTGTAGACCTGCTGACCCCTGAGTCCTCGAGCCCCGAAGGCCCTCAAACCCCAAAAGGATGGAACTTTAAATGCCCTAAACCCTAAACCCTAAACCCTAAACCCTAAACCCTAAACCCTAAACCCTAATAATGTAGGGGCCTTCTTCTTCTTCTGGACTCTTGAGTCAAGGGCCGTGTGTTACGGCACTGCATGACGCGTCCCAAAATTGCATGCCTAAATTCTGGAGGTGAGACGTTGGGCGCTGTTCCCAAAATCGGCGGGATGCAACCCTCGGGCCTTCGGTGCTCCGTTGTCCTATGTGATCGGTAATCCAGATGACGTGTGCAGGAGCTGGCTCAAATCCACGGGACAAACTGGTCAGAGGGTCATCTTCCGAAACGGGGGTAGCGCGGCGGTCCGCGGCCGTAGGCATCCGTGGCCCGAAGGCTTGCGGTACTCGCGTGGGGCGGGAGCCCTCGAACAGCTTCCACTGACCTCGCCGCACTGCATCTCCGCGCTGCCGATCGGGGCGCTCCAAGTCCAAGATCTGTGCATATGTGAGAGGAGCATGCAGGTAGAGGCAGCGTCGCAGGCAAGAAGTCGAGTGCTTGAGGTGGTGTTGTGCCTGTTTAACACCTGGGAAGACTTTCAGGCATGCTGAACAGGTATTGCTCAGCGTGTAGTGCCGGATAGGGGAGAAGACCTGATGAGTGCGCGCTAGATGCGCATGTAGATGCTTCCGCAGGGGAAATGTCGCACTACATAGATAGCAGGGGAACTGATCGCCGTCTGGGAAGACGGGGGAAGGCTTGGCGGAGGCAGCTCCAAGTCGACGCTCGTTATTCCATCGCTCCAGGTCTTCAAAGAAGGACTTCTCAGCTGCCTTGACTTGACGTGGCCACCACGTGAGGTCTGAATCATAAGAGTCCAGGAGGGAGGCGACGGGGTCTGCCGCACGGAGAACATCTTTAACGGTGGGCACGAACATTGCGACGTGCTCTATGTCGGCTCGGACCTGGTCGAGCCAGGAGGACCCCCGGTGGAGAGACCAGTGGTCCCAAAGGAGGGCCAGGAGTTGGCGCGGTCCATGTTGATAGAGCCGTCTAAGAAACCCGGCTCTGGCTTTGGCAAGAGCAAGCGGAGGGGAGAGAGCCCTGGCTTCCAATAGAACTCGAAAACTGTGGACTTGTTCCGCAGCTGACCGACGGTGGAAGAGCGCTCTCCACAGCGCCATATAGTGCTGCTCCCATATGCGGAGCTGGTAGGCTGCGGTCAGTAGGAGTGCAGAAGCCGAGTGGGCAAATTTGGAAACCACCAAAGAGCGCAACAAGTAGGCACGAAGCCTAACAGGTATTTCTCTCGTGCCGAAGAGCTTCCGTCGAAGTGGCTTGAGCGTTCCTGAAGCCTGGGCAAACCTAAAGTGCAGGTCCGGCAGGGGGGTGCCCGTCGAAGTAACAATGCCTCCGAGGTGTCGATAAGACTCGACGACGGGGACGTCGTATGTGCACTCTGTCACCCCATTGCGCAAACGGATGGCAAAGGGGGTGTCCTTCCCAGGACAAAAGCATGCCTGTTCCCGTTCTATGATGGCTGGGGGGAGGAGCACTGCAGTCTTCTCCCTGCCATACTTAATCGTCATTCCCGCAGAGGTGGCGAAATCCACGATTGTGACAATGGTCTGTCGGGTGCGCTCAAGTAGCTCAGCAGAGTGGCCGCCCGTCTGAGGAGCTACAAAGTCATCGGCCCATGCCGGTAATCCCAGGCTGATGTCTCCAATGTCTGCTAGGTGATCCGGTCTTGCGGCTGGAGAGGGAATGTCTGGCAGAAGACCGCGAGTCCGCAAAGAAGTCTGGACGGCTTCAATAAGAGCCGAGAGGGAGAATCCAAACATCAAGTCAGCAGTGGGATCTCCCGGCCTAGATCCCCTAGTGGTAACGGTTAAACGGGGGAATCCAGACAACCGAAACCATGTGCCTCGAAACAGGTCTTGGACAGCTGCTACGGCATGAGGAGTAGCACCCAAAAGCGGCAATTGTACAACCGTCCTGAGCTTCTCGCATAACTCCTGAACTGCTTTGTCTGGGAGTTGGAGATGATGCAGGAGGCGCAGTAATGCTGCATCGCTCTCTGTAGGCGGCACTAGAGCTTGTCTGAGCACCTGGTAAAACGCCGCCTGGAGGTCGAAGAATGTGAGAGAAGAGGGCCGGCACTTCGCGTGACAGAGCGCGAAAAACGACCGAACTACGAGAGCAATACCCTCTATGCCCTGGCCAGCAGCAACTCCTGCCTGAAAGGCAGGTTGGCTCTTGACAAGTAGGGGCTTTAGCGCTTCTCGAAGGCAGCGATGGTAGATTTTTCCCGGGACCGAGGACACCAGTATGGACCTGTAAGCATCACATCCCAAGGCTTGGCCAGCACGTTTTGCCAGGCATACGAGTTCACCTCCTCGAAAGGTGATTGGTTCGCAAGTCCTGAGGCTGGACTTGAGGAAAACAGGCAGTAACTGTCGAGCTACTAGAGGCACGTCAAGCTTGAGCAACTCTGAGGTAATGCCGTCCGGTCCGGCAGCCCGCGCACGTTTTGCTTGGAGAATGTGTCGTTCCAAGGAGCTAAGCGTAGGCACAAGTTGGATGTCCAGTGAGTGCGGCTGTATGTGGTGGCGTTTAAACGCGTCTGTATAACCACGATCGTCAACGGCAAAGCCAGCCTCCTGCGCAGCAAAGTGGCTACGCCAGGCCTCTGCACGGTCTGTAGTGGAAGCTGCGGCTGTGCCATCAGCGCGCTGTAGCATTGGCAGGGGTGTGATGCTCTGCCTGCGTGAAGGACGGGCAGCCGGGAAGGCTTTGCGTAGGACTCGGTACAGTGCCTTAGAATCCCCAATAGTGCCGGCTGCAACATCTTGTGCAAGGCCGTCAAGGTAGGCGATACGATCTGCAGCAACCGCCCTACGCAGCGCACGAGCTAGATTTCTGTACGCTGTCAGCAATGAGGCCTCCCAGGCGTCGGCTTCTCGGAGCCAGCGATCGGCAACCTGTACCTGTGTTGGCATAAGAGCAGTGCCTTGCCTATTGATAAGGAAGGCGACAAACACAATGAGCTGCCACTTGCGTTCGCGCTCACAGCTGGCAGTTTTAAGTGCAGCACGGATTGCCCTTCTTTCTTCTACAATCGTAAGGGTCTGGCTTGTGAGATAAGGTTGTGCCGGAGAAGACCCTTCGGGAGAGGTGAGTTGTAAGCCAACTGCTTGCCATGCCTGGACCAGGGCAGAGTAGTGAGCATCGACATCGACAGCCCAGGCGGTAATGGGTACTGAGCAGGTGAGGAGATGGCTGGCTCGGGAACCTGTATCACTTGGGTCCGGCCTTTGAATTTGCTTATGGGCGACAGGATAGGTGGCACCTGGCATGCGGCGGGTAAAACCACAGACAAGCTTCACAGGAGTGTGGTCTTCCCTCAATTGTAGGAGCTCGATTTGCGGACACGTACAAGACTCCAGGTGTGCTGTATGCCAATGGCGGGGAACCAGCACATAATCAATTCTAGACAGTGTGCCATGTGGGGAGCACCAGGTGTGATGCGGGCCACTATGCCAATGGGGCCAGGTGGCTGGGACCAAGGCATCAATTTTGTGCAGGAACTCATGGAACAGGGCGCCTGCCTGCCCTTCCTGTTCCGCACCGCTGTCGCCGACTAGCTCTGAGTTGACGTCCCCAAGCTTAGAGTTGGCATCGCACATGATTATGAAGTCGGTGCCGTCTGGTCTGGCTAAAACTTCGACAGCCCGCTGATCCCAAAATTCTCTAACAACTGCAACAGTCGTATTGGCAAGGGAAGGGGCATGGATAACGAAAAGCTGCAACCGGAACCTTGGTGTCTGCACATGCACAGCAAGGTGGCGGGGCGAGGCACCGACTACCGTAACATCCGCATGCCGTATGCAGCGGGTGTCATCTGGGGTGCGGTACAACGGCACAGTCTTTGAGATCCACAACGAGCAACCGCCAGTGCCGATATCAGAGGCAGCAGCATTATATATGTGATAGTCGGCATCAGGCTGCACAGCAGACTGGGGCAGTCGAGTCTCCTGCAGACCGACGAACAAAGGTCGAGGGCTGGCGAGCGAAGTCTTTAAGACATCCTTGCGGCCTAGCATACAAAGCCCTGTGCCAACTAGCCCTGACTTCCGCGTTTTATCCTTAAGAGTAAGGACGTTGAGGCTGATAGTTGCAAAGCTGAAGTCGGCAGTGGCTGTATCATATTGCCTGACTTGGACTCCATGAGCCGGGGGGGTAACTTCGAGTTTAGGGCTTGCTTGGGCAAGGGCTATTTCGGCTTCGAAGCAGTACA